CAAGATCATTTTGAAGTACTTTAATGAAACTTCGAATACCACCCATATTAAATGCATTCCATCCAAAAAATTTTCTTTTAAAAAAATCATAGCCTTATGCTCACGTTAAATCCGATCCTGCAACATAATTGGTTCAGGTAGCGATGCATATCTGTGTTTTGTGGGCCGTTTAATAGAACGAAGTCATTATACATTATGGCGTGATTGCATCACATTAACGCCCTATAAGCAATAGAAACATAAAGTCGTGCTAAAATATTTGCATATTATTTTAAATTGACAATATATAGCATGATGTACTGCATTAGGAGCTATTTTAATGAAGAATTTCGATCTCATTGTGAAGTAACCAAGGAAATAGTATAATCTCTATTCCTTTCATTAAATTTCAACTATCATTACCTTTTAAGTCTTGTCCTTATTTTCTATCATTATGAGATTCTGCGTTACTAGGGAAATTATGACATGCTTTCAATCAATATGACTCAGTAATTACTGAACTACGCCGTACGTACAATGTGCATCGCTGTATCGCTCTCTAGCATTGTTATTTGGACGTATAAAACTACGAACAGATTTAAACAAATTGGACATAAGGTTAGAGTTTAAAGCTAGGATTAATAATAATATCTGGGCGTAAAGTAATACGTAAAAGCATTGTCTCTCTTCATCCGGTTCGTTACATTATGCAATAAATTTAACGCGACACTGTTGCCCAGCGGTTTCATGCGTATGTATGTATGCTGCGCATTAAGTTTGAGTACTAGCGTTTAGGCGTTTAGCTAGGCGTTTGACAATGGCGCAGTGTAGCTCAATTGCCTTTTTTTTTTACTAACGACCGTAAAATAATTCGTGTCACAGCCATTTTGGATAATGTTTATTAGTAATACATGCGTAAAAATTCTTTTATCATGTGAAAGAACGGATCCTGTAATTAACTTCAATTTTTCATATAAACGGAATTGGTAACTCCGAGCACCTATATATTAATAAAGCTTTGCTACGTATCGGTATCATGTTATAAAGAGTTTATTTTTAACGATAAAAAAATTAATAATTATTTTATTTTTTCTAAACGATAAAAAAAAAAAAAAAAAAGTTATAATCAAACTCTTTAATCGTAATATCGTAATGGATTGTATGTTTTATCCAAATCTAATATTTAAATGACTTATAAATACTGTATTTAATTTTGAACAACGTAATTGCTTATTTTGTAGATGAAGCAGTTGCAAAGCAAATCATGCCCGATCTTTGCCATAAAATTAAAGATTTCCAATATCATACATGGCATGTTACTGATTGGAAAAATTTAGAAAAAAGATTAACAGGCCCTGAATTTACTGCTGGTGGTCAGAATTGGTAGGCTTCGTGTATTCGTGTATATGCAATATCCTTACACTTATACATGAACGAATGACTAACTAATTAAACCTGATTTTTAGGCGTCTTTTGCTTTTTCCTTTTGGAAATTATAATTATAATAATAAGGACCACGTTGGTATTTATTTGGACTTCGTTGATCCATATGATGATTTGCATATCACTGCACAGTTCGCTTTACTTTTGTGGAATCCAAAAGAGCCAACAAAATTTGTTAGTCATGGTACGAAAGTTATACTTTAATGATCATAATTATTGAAAATGTATGTAATATTAAACTATTTGCTTAATGATTATAGAAACGTATCATCTTTTCAGCGTTGGGGAAAGTGATTGGGGTTTTACAGGGTTTTATGATCTAAATAAGTTATTCACTCCAACTGATGGACGAACTTATCCGCTAATTGAAAATGATGCTTGTAATATTACTGTTCTCGTTCGTATTCTCGAAGTTCCAACTCAATATATTGGTTTAAAAGGTCGAGGGTCTTGCTTAAATTCAGTGGTACAATTACTTTATAACATAAAATATTTTCAAAAGGTTTGTTCTTAGTTAATAAAAAAATAAACTTTGTTTTTATTCCGAGTTTGAAAACATTGAAAATATTATAATATTTACTTTTAATTATAGGCTTTATATCAAATCCCTATGGAAAGTGATAAATCACCAAAAACTATTGCTTCGGCTTTACAGCGGATTTTTTATCAATTAAATGTTTCAGACACTGAGGTTGAAACAATGGAATTAAGAAAATTTTTTGGATGGAATGCATTTAATATGGGTGGTATTCGAAGTTTCATTAAAGTACTTCAAAATGATCTTG